TACACGCACTCTTTTTTTGTTTATTGCATTGACGGGAGGACGAGCTCACAGTCCACCTGGTGTTAAGTGGTTACTGGAGCCCATAGACATCCACAACGTAAATGCGCCACCCACCTTGAGATATAAGTTCTAAGGTTTCAATTTCAAGTATAGTTATAACGGCTGCCCCACCCTTCAAACCGAAACGCATTATTGCTTCACGGTAGAAATAGGCAAGGTGGTGGTACCTACCCGCGCGGACTCACAAGAGGTCCTACCACCAGTAATTATAATTTTTATTAAACGATATTATTCCTTCACCGTGGAAATCAATCGTGAACATTTGTTGAGTACGTATTTCATTAGAAAAATTGGTACCCGCCTGAGATTAGAACACCGGTGCATCGCTCAACACGAATGCACCGGACGTCTTATACGTTAGGCCACGACGACGACAAATTACCAATTTTATTACCAATTTCCTTAAAACCTTTCGATTGCTTTAAAAAAACCACATGGAGATCAATAATATAACTAACTGATGCTTCTCAATTTTCTCACACGCCGTCTTCGAATATTTTAATCACCAGTGCCGTATGTAATGATGTGAACAGCCCTTTTCATGTTAATTTGTTTGAGCTGTAAATTGATTCGCGCGTTTACCTGGAAGGCGCCGCGTACATCCGACGACCGTTACGATCATCGGAAACCGGTCCGGCTTCCAGGTTACGCGATACGCGTAAAAACGTCTCAACACGTACAGCCAGTCGTACAGCTTATCGATGTTTTGAGGTTAATTGCAGACAACGGAGGCTGTTTTGAGAATAAACACAGTAAAGATATATTTTTGGTGGTGGTAGGCCTCTTGTGAGTCCGCGCGGGTAGGTACCACCACCCTGCCTATTTCTGCCGTGAAGCAGTAATGCGTTTCGGTTTGAAGGGTACGGCAGCCGTTTTATCTATACTTGAGACCTTAGAGCTTATATTTCAAGGTGAGTGGCGCATTCACGTTGTAGATACCTATGGGCTCTGGTAACCAATTAACACCAGGTGGGGCTGTGAGCTCGTCCATGCACCTAAGCAATAAAAAAAATCCAATTAATTCGACTAACCTGTATATCTCTTCTAGGTTGTGGAGGCCTCATCGCAGGAGGGGCGGAAACTGGCGGCGGGGCAGGCATCCTCATTGGCGGCGGGGTGACGTGTCTGTATACCGGTTGCGGGGGTAAAGCCGACGGAAGCGACGGTCTCGGACCGTGCACGACGGTCACGGAAGGAACGAGCGGCGGCGGTCGTCGCTCTCTCGATCGCTCCACTATCGCGAGGTGTTCGGACGGCCGGATGAGCCGCGGGGGGGCCGGCATGCGGACGGACGGCGGGTCCTGGTCGGGGCGGGG